GCTTCTGTTTTAGATTAGGTTTTGAATTTCTCATTAGCTGTGGAATGATATCAGCATTTGGAGAGTTTATCATACATGCCATATGGCATTGAAACTTAGTCAAATTTGAAAAACTGAGGAGTGTTGTCTGAAATGTTACCAGAGTCCACAATGTAGCATTAAAAGAGCTGGTAAAGAATCTGAGTGCTGACATGTTTGTGAGAAGAGCAGGTATATGAAGAATGCCTGTTTCTTCTGCATGCACAGACATAACGAGCTTAAACACCTGGGACTCCAAGCCAGACAGTGTCATACCAGAAATACAGTGAAGTGGTTTATCAGTAAGTGTAATTAACCATTAGGAAAAAATAACTAGAGCCGTGATAATTCCTTGTCATAAGATTTTAGTACAAGAATAAGTGTCTTCACGAAGGAAATGTAGCCCAAACATTACTTACCTTGATGGACCTATTGCCTCTGTAATGCAGAAGGGATGGCTGGGGTGGCCACAGCTGGTTCAGAGCAAAGGGCAGAGCTAAGCTTCCTACCACCTCCATTGATAATGGTGTTTTACTTTTTTTTTTATTTAACCATAATGGATTTCATTATTTTACTGGAAATAATACTTTCATTTTACTCATGAAGATAGATAGACATATGCTTCTCTTAGTGCTCCTGAAATATCCTTGTTTTAATATTACAGCCATTGCTAATTACACACTTGCATATCTTCCATATTTATTGTAATACTTGGGGCATAAACTAGTATCCATAATCTAGGGAAATGTTGGGTTTGTTCTTCCTTGCTTATTTGGAGAAGAAAAACAAGGGCATAACAACTGCAGTGATGTTGGAGCCACTGCTCCTGCACAGAGTGCTTTTTAAGGGATGGAAAAGAATTTCTGGTCTGTATCATACCCACGCATGTAATACATGTAATACATGACATATCAAGCAAATAAGTGTTCGTGCTTCAGTAGTGCATTTATGTCCTTCATAAAGTTTCATACTTGATTTGAAAGTTTCAAAACTCTTTGTGATACAGATGGTTCAAACTCCACTGGTAATTCAGTGTCTGGTTAGTTCTAAAGTAGACCAAAGACTGGTAATTGATGCCCTGAGAGATCTGAAAAAGCTTATGTGCACATTTGTATGTACATTTGTGTCTGCTGTCAGTGTTCAAACATTTTCAGGAAACTGGACTGTGATTTGGAGCATATGTTTCTTGTTCCCTAATTGGTAGTCAGGGCCCCACACTGAGGGCCACTGCTGGCACAGAGTGAGGGCTAGAAGGTAAAGCACTGATTAAGAATTATAGTTGAGATGTAGTTTGTTAAAGTGAACATCAGTGGGTCTTCATATCTGTTGCTCAGATAGGTTTAGAAACTGAGGTGGATTTATAAAGCAAAATAATCAAATCCTTCATAAATGGAATGAAAGTTTCCATCTGATGGGCTGGTTTTGCAGTATTTATGGAAACTGTACAAGAGCTTACATTTTAAACATAGAAAAAGTCAAAATGGCACAGATCTAATCAGTCAAAGCCACTCAGATTGATTCCAGTAGTTACGGGTACACTTGTTCTGTGTGTGGATCAGTAGAGCAAAGAAAAACATTCCTATATTTTTACAGACTCACTGAATACACTGAGTTGGAAGGGATCCACAAAGATCATCAAATCCAGCCCTGCACAGGACCATCCCCAAGAGTCACACCATGTGTCTGAGAGTATCATCCAAAAGCTTCATGAACTCTGCCAGGCTTGGTGCTGTGACCACTGCCCTGAGGGGCCTGTTCCCCTTGACTTCTCTCCCCCACCAGACATTGTCTTTTAGTCTCACAGTTCTTTGCGATATAGACCATGGAAACTCAGAACAAGCGTTTCCATGACCTGCAATTTCCAAAAAACTTAATGGCAGAGATATCGCAAAGCCTTGAACAGCAACTGTTATGAACAGGATCACAACTAATGGCAGTGAGAGAGAAATGGAGGAATAAAGAACAGCTCCGTTTATACCCACAGTGTGAATCTTCCAATCCAACAGAAGGCATGTTTTGCAGACAGAGAGCGCCTTCCAGGATGCTCTGCAGAATCCAGTCACGGTGACAAAAATGTTTACAGAACAGTGGTCTAATAGAAAAATGTTTATAGCACTTTGCTGAATACAAAAAGGAAAATCTTTCCACAAAGACTGACTGCAGTCTTTCACACCTTGACACACACACAAATTAGTCAGATTTGTAATAGGCAAATTCTATTGCATCAAAATTTCAAAGCCTCTGTGCTGTGCAGCTTGCTCACTGGGAGACTTGTAGGACCTAGGACCAGATTCACAGAGAGCAGTTTGGGTCCACGTTCCCTGAACTTCCCATTCTGGTTCATCTATCTTTAATGAAAATTAATAATTTAATCTCCATGTTACTAACACATTATCTCCTTCCAAAGGTACCAGTCACTACCCCATGGGTCAGATCACAGTCTTCCATTACATACTATATTAAGGCAGTAACAACGGTTCAGCTTTCAATATTATATGAATTTTTTCCTCTACCATTTGTGTTATTTTCCCCATCCTAAAAGTTGGCGGCAATCATTTGTGCTCTGATTATAAGCTATATCTTCATCTATGGCTTCTCTCATCATAGTATATGAAAGTGGCAAATACAATCTATAAGTAATAAGTATGGTATGAAATTTCACAAGGTCTTTATCATTTTGTGTCATTATTCTTGTCATTGTTTATTTCTCTCTTTTTATTCTAGGAATATTTTTTATTTAGTGTGGGTTTTTTTTCTTTACCTTTTCTTATTCTCTTTGATGACTGAATGTATTCTGCTGCCTAAAATATAAAAATACTTTTTGGTCTTTTCAAAATTTTGATTTATATTCAGATTTACTCAATTTTTTTTCTGTTTATGTCCCTTCTTGCTTTTTCAGTCATTGAAATGCTAGAGATTTAAGGTGTGTGCATGTACTTGTGAAATTAGTATAACTGAGCAGAGTGTATCCTGACCTTTACCCTGAAATGTGGTAAAGTTTGTGCTAAGGACATTTCAGATCATGTCTCTGTTCTTGTCCTTAGCAGACAAGACTTGTCTGCTCTTCCCAAAATACAAACCTACTTCTGTACTTCCAGGTATATTTGCTTCATTTTGCTTTACTCCTCCTTGAAAATAAATCCCCTTAAATTTCTTTGTGAGGCAAAACACTGAGGAAGCCCAGCTGGTTTGTCAGCCGTGAGCCAGGGAAGCCTTTGATTCTCAGAATTAAGGACAATCTGATTTTTTTTGCTACACACTCAAGAAGCTTTGGCTTCACAAAGAAAATCTAGAAAGAAAGAAAGGAAGCAAACAAGCAAGCTTTCAAGTGTGGGAAGTTTCTGGTAAAGTAAACATTTGGCTCCTTCAGGCTAGATGTAAAGGAGATAAAGAAAGTTAGGGAATCAGAAACCTACCTCAGTCCTCTAAGTAGGCAGCCACGGAACTGGACTAGAATGGAAAGCAAATGAGTTTCGGATAGAAGCCTGTGTAACATAATTCCTCTTGCACACCAGCCAGTGTCCATTAGGTTTAGCTTAATATTATCTGAGACTTTTTATTTTTAGAGATTTCATTGATACTAATTTCCTGATACTTTTAAATAAAAATGAAATCTTTGGATATGCCAGCAAAAGGGTTACATTGTTAAAACATTATAGCAAACTAGAACCTGAAGAGCTCAACTAAGACCTTACTTTCAACAACTCAAGTATTTCTAAAACAGTGAATTTTGATGTAGTCTGAGATCCTTGCAATCTACATAGAGCCAGGTGCAGCAACACAGGAGTAAATGATCTGCAGATGGCAACTGGGAGCAGGCTTGGGTACATGTGCAAAACTAACCAAATTTCCTCTCTATACTTATCTTTGTAATAATCAATGCAAAAATTTGCTAAATATGCAAAATGGAAAGACATGATTATACTAAGAGCTCTGGCAAACACATGCAGTTGTGAAGTTCTTAAAGATTCACTTACTAGAAACTGGATCACATGAAGCCTTGAGACTTCACTTTATAGTACTCTTTCAAACATCTCTTCAAACCACTAAAAAAACGTGAAGAAATGCAGGAATAGCTGAAGTGGCTTGAAGTAACAATAGCTACTGATTCAGAACAATAAGTGAAACCAGGCACCAGGACCAAAAAAATACTGGGTATCACTGTTCAGTGCTTTTGAGGTAGACTGTAACAAGAAAGGAAAGAGGAAAATGCTTGGCTGACAAAGAGTGAACTGGATCCTGAAGGCAGAGGGGAGAAAAAACTTCCCATGATCTTCGATTATCATTGTGGTAGAATAAAAACATATTTCAAAGGACACATTATGTAGGTGACACACTACAATTTGAAAAAAAAAAAAGCTTTGTGATTACAGAACACAGAGTTTTATTATCAGCCATCGAAGAGGAAAGAAAGTCTGCACAGTCATTACTACACCTGTTGCATTTATCACGGCATGACTTCGCTCTCTAGTAGTGGTGGACATTAAGAAAAAAGAAGGCTTAGTACAGATCTAAACCCACTTATTAGTTACTTGAGGAAGGCAGTATTTATTACATGTGACTGGAGATATCCTGTGTTACTTACCCAGTGCAAAAGTACTCATTCTTGGTGATGGGTTTCGAAATAAAAAGAAATTTTTGTACCTTCTCTGTTTCCCCTGTAAGATTCACCCTTTGCTTCTCTGGCTGTGGGACTTTTTGGGGAACAGCAGGTTCCCCAGGAATCTGACTTCAATGCAGGAAGGATCTTCAGTAAAAACATCCTTCTCCCATTTTTGTTGTGTTGTTAAATAATGACAGAAATGGCAGTTCATAACCTATGTCTCTGAATTCAGCACAGCACTAGCAGAGGTTAAAGAATAAACAAACTGATGGACTGACCATCCAGCAAAACACAACAATTAAGTTATTACAGTGTTTTCACTATCACTGTTGGTTTTTCTTTTAAGTTCAATTAAATAAAATGGCAAACAGGCAGAGATTTCAGAAATGTGAATTTTATTGAGATTTATTTCATAGAAAATTTAAATACAAGAGATTAAATGGAAAGTCTTGTCAAGTGAGACCCTGCGAAACTAAGTTCCAATCACCGAGCAACGTCTGATGGAATTGCTAATTAGATCACATGTTTCTCCTTAGCTGTAGAACAAGGAATCACACCAATGATTTCACTTTTCATCTGCAGAACAAGTTTTCAACCCCTTTTGTAACTGGTTAGTACAGTATCAGGTACAAATTCTACTGATGCTGAACAGAAACATTTATGTATTTATAAGCTAATATATGCCTAGGGAAAAAAAGCCTCCAACTTTTATTTTTCCAGTATTTATCATTCATTGAAAACCAGATGGTAGGAGGTAAGCCAGGTTATCTCAGACTTCTTGTGATGGGTTCAGTGGCAGAGACCCAAACAGCCTCGTATGCAGCAGAGTACCTATCCCACTGGCAGCCAGTTTTTTCCACTTAACTCCTTTTTTTCTGCTTGGAGCCAATCCAGCCCAGTTCAGCTCTTTTGTAGGAACTGAGGAACCAGTATTGATTTCCCATTTAAGCCAATCTTGTGTAAGCCCACCACTGCCTCCCTCGCTATGAATATGGGAAGCACTGGAGGAAACCAGCTGCAGCATTTTCCACACGCAGAACTGCTTCTTCGGGCTGGATGTGAGCTGAGTTCCAAATCAGAAAAATAAAAAGCGAAAATGGCAGCATAGATAGGCTTTCTTTTCAAGTCTGATACACATTCAGCACTGCCTTCCTAGAAAGGATTCTCAGAAAACAGGGAATTTGCCTGTTAGAGCAAAAAAAGGAGATTCTTATAGGCTTCAGTGCATTTGTCAGCCAAGATAACAAATCCTTGTACCAAAGTGGCCTTAGAACAGTGAGGCAATGAGGACTTTTCTAAAAAAAATATCAAAATTGTGCACTGCGCTTTTTTATGAAAGTGTGAAAATCTGTTGTAACTGTCTATACTGAGTGTTTATGGATTTAAGCTGAAGACTGCAGTGATGTTTGAGGATTCTCAGGCTCTGTGCCATGAAAGTTTTGTTACCAGATTCAGAGTTTTCAACAGGCGTCCATTGCAATCAAGGGTAAAAAATACCTCTAGCACAGATATTTTTAGGGACTAGCAGTGAAGTCATGCTTTAAAAGATAAATAATGCTAATAACATTGATACAAACTTTCCAAAGTCACTTAACAATAAGCTCCAGAAATCTAAATGCAGTTGCTGAAAATTGGAACACAGTTTGGTAAAAAATTGGCAGTACTTCCTGAAATATAACATAGAAATTAAACAAAACTTTGAATTGTGGGTGGGAAGTCATAGAGATAGTATTTGACCCCTACATGAAATTACCAAGCTAGGCTAAATATCATGCTTTTTGAGATCTCACTTCAAAATGTCTTAGCAGCTCTTTGACCTAATTCGCTCTCTCTGTTCTTAGCTGTTCACAGTCTCTAAAATGGAAATCTATATCTGGAATTTGTCAGGGACAAACTGTTGGAAGCTCTTACATGGAAACAGGATACCTTCTTCTTCCCGTGGCGTGTCTCTGTAAAACACTTAAGAGTAACCATCCCCAGACACTGGAGAGTTCAGGCACTACTTGTGCTGATTTTCATTGAGAAACAAGCCACCAAACTCAGGTCATGACTGTTCTTGTCCCATGTACACACCATCAGTGCAGTGAGATTAGTCCACTGTGATTAATGCAGACTGAAAGAACAATCTGCAGCAGCCTGATGGATGGAGCAATTTCAAATAGTATCACATGGATGTAGGAAACCAGAAACAACTGCAGCCTCCCGACCCAGCCTTTCAGGCTGTGTGCAGCCTAATGAACAAAGGTATGAGCTGCTTCTACTCAGAGAATTTGACTAATGGGGAGAAAAGACAAGTTTTATTTTTGTTTTATTTTTCTGTACAGAAAGCAATTGGCAAAATGGAGTCCATTAGGATAATATGAAGCTTAGCCATCAGCAACTATATTTTTTTGGTTAAATGTTCTTTGTCAGAGAACCTTATGCAAGAAGATTTCCCAAGAGAAAGAAACTGAGAGTTAGGTGGATTATTTTCACGTAGTGGAATCAATAACCTGAGTTTCCTTGGTGAGTGGTCAGAATAGCCACATATTTGTAATTCTCAATTCTCAGGTATCTGCACCAGGGAATAATTAGCAGCCTAAGCTGCTGGTTTGATTGATGAGGCTGCTGAGTGATTATTTCTCCAATTTTCCCCAACTTCAATTCTCATAGACTAGGGTCAGTGAAAAGAGAAGTTCATTTTAGGCTCCTCAATACTGATATTCAGATTCTTTCTGTATTTATTAATATATTTTCTCTACATTTTCAAAGAGTGAACTTGGAGGCACTACTGAGAAGGTAAAAGACTTTCAGGGATTTTTGTGGGAGTTTACTGAATTTGTGGCATCTGGTAGACTTTAGGAAGAATGACAGAACAGATTCTGCCTAGCAGAAGAAGTCTGAGCAGGAGGCAGTAGTAATATTTGGAGAGAGTGAGAAAGCTGTGGAAGGCGAGATGAACATCAAAGCTTTATTTGAGATGTAGTGCCCAGTGAGAGAGAGGAATAGGAACAAATGTCAACAGGAACAAACCAACCTTTTGCTTTTTAATGTAGTCATAAAAAACTTATGTGCGAGTAAGGAATATTTTAAACACTGCCTCAGATACAAAATGTCATTCACATCTACTGGAAAAAAAAAAAAAAAGACCGGTGCCTGGGGCTATGCTAATTCTTTAATGTGATGGCATTCCTGTTCAGAGAGCTCTGTAAGCTTTCCAGGCTGCCAAGCATGCTTGGCACCCATGTCTTCAAGCACTGTTCCTGCAAGGTTCCTGAGTACATTTTCATTTTAATGGGTTCTTAAGTCAAGCATCTCTGGCAAAGCTTCCTGAAAAATGAGTGAGAGCTCATGCAAGGGACAATGACATTCTTTAATATTTACTGCACTAAAAATAACTTTTGAAAACAATACATGGTATACAGAATGTTCTTCTTGTTCAAAAATGGCTAGTTTTAACAGCATTTGATGGATTCAGAGGGCTCTTGGTAAGTACAGTTAATATATTTTCTCTATATATTCCTTCAGTATTAAAGAGCAAATTGCTTAATATGTAATTTTGAGTAAATGTTTCCCCAGTTACATTCACTCTCTCTTTCTGATATGCTTTATTCCTGCCTGAATATTTTTCTCCTTTTAATATTCTCAGCAGGCTGGATTTATGAGCCTATGAACGCAAAGAATAGGAAACATCTTCTTCTGAAGCCAGCTGCACTGGTGAACTTATTGAATAGCTGACCGAGTCCTGAATGATAATCATACAAAGAGAAGAGCAAGAGGAACAAAATGAGACAAAATCACCTTCATTTTCCAAAAAACTTGGAAAGTACTGGGCACTGCACAGAAAGAGAGAGAAAAAGAAAATTAGGGAAAGTGAACCCACAGTTTGTTTCATTTTTCATTCTAACATCATTTCAGCCACAAAGAATGACAGTATAAATGATCAAACAACTGTTTGCTAATGCATTATAGATAGTCATACACAATATGGCAGCTTTATACTTGTATATTTACCCACCATGAATACAAAATATACTAAGAGTGACAGGTAATGTAGCCAAAGCTTCTACTCTCTGTAAGCATCTGTGTACTATGAATTATAAATGAGAGTCTTGTGTCCAAAGGTAGCAAGTAATGTAGATAATGCCATCTGAGTAAATGAATAAATGTGAAACAGATGCTTTTTGCATTCAGGGCACACAGGTACAGCCAGGAAGCCACCAGTACAGATTATGGATGCTGGTGAGACAGCTGTTGTCTGCATCCAGTGCCAGGTGCATTCCTACCTGGGCTGTGCTAAGTCAGTAAAAAAGGCCTTTCTCTTAGTCCTTTTTAACAAGTTTCCAGAAGGATGAGGTATCTTCCTTACGTAGATTCCTCAGGTGCTTGGATTTCCTCAAGGCTTTCCTAAAAAATCAAATTGGCAACATTACTAGAAGAGTCCTTTATAAGAGGTGGTGAAATTGCCTGAATGGAACATTTAGCTTAAAACAGTCATAAAATACTTTATCTTTGCTTTTTATGCAAGTGTTCAGGTTTGACATTATTTTTTTTCTGAACAAATATTTTGACATTTTTTTTTCTGAGCAAATATTTTTGCCTCAAAATGAAATTACATGGCTTAAAAAATTACTGCTAGAAAGGCATTAAGAACTATTAAGAACTCTTTTTTTGTTTTTCACAGTAAATTTACTTATAAGCAAAGAGACAGGAGCTTGGGCTCTGGTTAGGGAACTGGAGGGTTCTTGTTGTCAGTACAGACAGCTCCCTTGATACCTAAAAGGTAGGTTGAACTCCCCAGATAAAATATTAAACTTAACAGTGCTGACAGATAGTTTTTACTTGTGAGATACAGCTACAGCTATTCTTTAAAGTTCAAATAAGTTCATAATGCAGCCTGGGTTTATATTGCTCTTGCAGCTGTTCCTTTCCTGCCTAATGCTGGAGTTGTGCTGTGTCCATTTCCATATATGCAGAAGAAAAACTTTGTCCTTTTCAGGTTCAAAAAGGAAGGAAAAAAGGGCTTCAGACCCACTTTCCTTCAGATTTGTCATTCATGAGTTAGTTATGTCATGTAGGATGGGTAAAACAGTAGTTACCAAGTATGGAATGAAAGTCTATACATAGTAATGCACTTTTAAGAAGAAAATGAGCAAATGCAGTAATAAAAATGGCTTTTTCTTGTTTAGTAGGAGTACCTTGAGCTATACAAAACTCTCAAAAGGAAAAAGTTCCAGGACCAATAAATAGCTGTACATATTCTACAATGTCATTTCACCACCCCTTGCATAACTGAGCATTTCAGAGATAGAAAGTGCAATCAGAGATTTATGTAAAGTTTTAGAAAAGCCTAATAGATAACATAGAGCTTCTCAGAACTTAATGAGATGGTATTTGAACCCTTAAGAGTATTTATCCAAAGCTACCAAGGCAGTCATTGCAATAATTTCATAGCATTCCCTTAGAAGTAAGGTTTTTTCTTCCACACCAAATATCCCAAGCTCTTTAAGCTTTTTGGCATAAGTCTGGTCAGTCAAGGGGTCTGCCTGCCATTGCCAGATTTTTATTTCATTTTAAGGTCAATCCAGAGTATGATATCCTAAGAAAAATTCTGCATTTATACAGTTTTCATAGAGAATTGAGCTTTGTAGCCCAAAAGCAAAGGGTGAAATCAGAATAATTCAGATTCCACTATCTACTATCCTTGTTTTTTTCTTTGTTTCATTTGCATCTGTGCAAAATTGACATAAAACACCATCATTGTTCCAATTTGACACTTCTATATCCCATTTTGTCACTCTGTTTGCAGAAGTGGAAATGACAATACACCTCATAAAACAGATGCAATCCAACCGGGACAAGCAAGCCATTCACTGTCTATTAAATGACTTATTACTGCCATTGTGATATCCCAATATTTTTAACCTTGTAAATAAAGCAACTCCTTACGAGTTACTGGTTTTGACGTAAAAAGCAAGGAAAAGTCAAACTATGCAACTTTGAAAGCCATAATTTTGCTTTCCAAACAGCATGATTTTATTTAGAATTATTGAATTTTAACTACAGAAATGTCAATAATCCACAGGTGGCTTGTTCCTATTTTCTCCATGTCCTTTCCTTTCTTTCAGTAAGTTGCCCTTGCATTTATTTCAGTGTAAAAGTTTGAGGAAAAAGAAAAAGAGACTGCCTAGGTTTTTAAAAAGTTTGAGAAGTAATTTGCAAAGTGATAGTTTCTGGTAATGAAGGCTGCTACCTTTGCCCAGGTCTGTCAGTATGATAAAATTGTTTTGGAATGTTAATTACTGAATAATCAGATTTCCTTGAAAATGAAACCTCAACTTTTACTGAAATATGATATTCCTAAATTATATCAGAGCTGTAGTACAGTCAAATCAAAAATTACACTAAAAGAACTCATGCAGTCTTCTATTTAGGATGAGACTCTATTATCTCAAAAGAATTAGATGCACAACCAATATGGAAACACTTATCCCATTGGCCTCTATTATCCAACTGGAAATAAGAAAACTTCCATTACATTTTGCAGTGATCCACACCTTTCTGTTTTAAAGTCAATAAACTCCATCTTTTGCTGTAGTAGCTTCAGCATGTGTGCAAAAATGACCCTTTGCAATTTGGCTGCTGAGACATGGTGGGAGAGGTGACATAGGAGTTTTAAAAAAAGATGCAAAGCAGTTTTTACTGCCACGCTTGTCCTACCATGGAGTAATAAAATGATGCTTGCAAAGCCTCACGTAAAATTCTATTGTTCTTTGTATCACAAGACAGAATTCCCTTCCTAAATCAGTCACCCTAATCAGTTTAATTGAGGCTGATGCTCAAACCACAGAAAAATATTATGAAGAGAAAGTCCCTCAAGTGGCTCTTGACCTCTGTGGAAGCGTGGTCCCTTCTGTCACATCCTATGCCAACATACAGCCTGTTGAAAAGATGCCTTGAAATAAACACAACATCACAGGGATTTCCAGAGGAGAGGGCATCGGGGGGGCACTCAGCGCTCGCTTCTCTTCAGGAAAAAAAAAAAGGAAAAAAAAAAGACTTCAGAAAAAGTACTTTGAAACTGGTAAAATAATCTTCTAAATAAACCACCAGTGGGGAATACCCACAGTCACTGAGGACAGCATGCTGTTCAGCGTATCAACAAAAATACATTTGGCCTGAGGCAATGCTCAGGGCAAACATATCCCAGATGGACTAGAGAGGCCCAAATACCTTCAGAGATGAAAATTTAATTAGAGGAAATGTCACTGCAGTGAACAAAAGGATTGCTTTAGTGATTTTTCATCATTGTTTACTACAAGCGAAGTATAGTTTTAAGTGTTAGGACAGGCTAAGTACAGCAGTGTTCTTAAGCACTGGAATGGATATGAAAGGAATGGATGTTGAAGGTCAGAGACAATCATCTGCACTTGAGGAGTGATCAAAAGGAGTAAACCATCAAATATTGACAGATGGCAATTTTTAATTGCTTCAGTGATGTCAAAAGGTGACAAAAGGTGTCAAAGGTGGTGCTTTCAAGCCACTAAGAAGGAAAAAACTGCCCTTATGTGGTTGGTCAGGTTAGAGTTTTTGTTGCTTTGTTGTTGTTATTAGTGCTGTTGTGAGATCCCAAGGATGATAAAAAGCTTAGGTTTTTCTGAAAGCATAAAGCCATCCCTGAAAGCTGAGATGCCTCACTGCCTCTTTACCTCTTTGATAATCCATTGTATATTATCAATTCTGATTCTTGCACAAGTCAGGGGTGAAATTGTTGGAAAAGCAATATAGGAATTGTTGCAGCACAATCATAAGGAATCAGTCCCCTTAAATGAAAATATGTGACTTTTTGCATCAGTTCTGAAGGCTGTTTGGGATAAACTAAAAGAAAATAAGACATAGTAAACATTATAGAAAGTCTTTCAAACTATAGTATGTTTCCATTTGGATTTTACATCTTCAGAATGCAGAGTTGAGAATTTCCAGTCTTTTTTCCCATCCAGCCTTCATTTTGTATTTTCTGCTGAATACTCCCCCCAGCAAAACAAAATAATCACTTTAATTGAAAGGATGCACATAATTATTTTCCAATCATAATATCAAAATAGTGCTAATATAGCACTCTTTATTAGTATGTAACAGGAATTACATACTATTATATGAGGCAAAAATAACTACAGAAATAGTAATTATTATCAAATATCTCTCACAGAGGCCATACCAATTTCAGTTGATTAATCTCCTTAAGAAGATCAAGGAGATCTCTACAAACAGACAACTGGAGAGGAGATTTATTAAAATGGGCTACAATCTAAGTAAAAAAATGAAGAAAGCATTATACAAGTATAATAATATACAATTATGTACAGATCAGTATATTTATTTGGTTAATAAAGTCAATAAAGTAGGTTGATAAAGTTAATAAGACTTATTTTTATATTAGATCTTTACTATTATTTGTATTTTTGGTCTTTGCTAGATCCCTTGAATTTTACTGATGCTGTTGAGAGTTTGTTCTTCTTAGATACAACTATACAAAGATAGATTCTTTCTGTATAGAAGGTATTAGGGAACATGAAGTCTCCTGAAATTACTGGGGAAACTTGACACCGACTTTAGCAGAGTTTGGATAAAGCATCTGGAGTACCTTATTCACTTACTAAGTTTACTGGGTAACATGTGCCCTAATTTCAGGTGATTGATTTGGGTTTCTCCTGGTGCTGTTGTTTATTATCCCCTGTTACCCACACTTTTGTATTCTAGCCCAAATAATCTCCCTAGATTTCTCCTGACTGGAGGCACTATGCTTTTGCTGGCAGTCAGAACTGGCTTTGTGTTCACTTACATTGTCTTGTTAGTCCTTTCCCTTTTCCTCACCTGCTTCCTTGTTTTAATTTTTCTTTCTTTCTTTCTTTTTAGCAGGTACAGTTCTACACAGAGTTGAATCATATGTGCAGAAATTTGTTAGATTGATGCCAAAGGGCCTGCCCAAAGGCAGGCTCTTAACACATTATTTGAAACCTGTGATGGAGAGTCCAACCAGCCTCTGATTAGGCAACGTGCCATACTAAGCAGATATTAATGAATCTTGGCAACCAAATATGAGAAATCAGTTTGCTTGCCATCTTTTCTCTGTTACAGATGGTTATCTGGAAAACCATCCAAACAACAGAAATATACCATATGTAAAACAAAGCCTCTCTTTTTATTTTCAGGTTCACAGACTCTCATCTTAAGATTTCACAGTATTTATTATTTTTATACTTCAGGATGAGCAAATACATTATTATCTAAATGTATCCAAATTATGACACTCTGAAGAAAACAATACTGTGCTTTATGGGGATGTGACTGTATTATTGATGCTACGGACTTCTGGATGATCCTCACCAATTCCATCCACAAACCGA